CCTCACGTCAAAATCATTTATAATAAAACAGAAACAGAATATTTTCATAAATAATTCATCATACTGCAAATTTTAATTAAGCTTTCCACAGCAGAATGTAGAAATTAAAAAAGAAAATGAAAAACTGGGTCGCATATGTCATTACACTCGAGATTTTCCTATGCTTTTCCTGGTAAATATTTAATGCAAAACTTAATCATCACTCGCGACTGTATAATATTTATTAATCTTGTAAATGTGAATGTGTGTATCACTCTCAAGCAAGTTAATATTGGATCTGGCCCGTCGGAAAATATTTACTCTATTTCCATTGACAAAGCAAAATTATTTTGTAGACAGGCTAATAGCCAGCTAATTTTCTGGTAATGCTAAAATTCCGTAGTCAGTATTTTCGTCGCTCTTGCGTTGCAGTTGGGTCGTAATTTATTAAATTTCATGAAATGTGTACACAAATGTGGTGGGTGGTTAGGCAAATACAGAAAATTACAAATTTTCACGAATGATTAATTATTAAAATGCGGGAAGGTGTTCGGTGATGCTAAAATTTCAAATTAGGGTCACTCAAATCTGAATGTTTCTAACGCAAGATTCACCCAGATATTGACTTTTTTAGAAATTTTGCACTCGTGCCTCTTCATTATTACAGTTGAAATTTTAAAGTGTTGCCCCACTCAGATTAAAACAAGCATAAAATATCATTTCTAATTGGTGGTGGTTTTGATTTCTTATGGAAATTACTTCAAGACTTTCCAGTTTCGTCTGGGAAATTGGCGTTCGTCTTTAACTCTCAGTTATTTCCATGCAAGAGCGAACAATCCCCAGAACATTTAGCTGGAAATTCTGGAAATTATATCACTGTTTAACAGATGATATATAACAATGAGCTTGAATTAAATAGGACTGAAATAATTTTTTCTTTAAAATTTCTGTTTTCTCTTTTGTTACTAGCTACCGTATATTATTAGGTAACATTCTTAGAAACATCAATGAAATTATTAACTGGTGTTAGATTAAATAGTAATAAAAAGTGTAAAGTGTAATAAAAACATAGTATTCATATATTTTTTGAAAAATATTTTTCAAATAGTACGTTCACTCGCAACAAATAACGTAATAATTATTATATTCCTAATTTCACAAATAAACATTGAACGACTGTCAAAATGTAGTTTAACCAGAAAGTTATTAAACATTGTTTTAATTGCTCCCGTTGGATCTACAAATGTGAAAAAAACTATTAAAAACTACTTAAAAATATTAGGAAATTTTAAATGAAATATTAAATTGGATTCTTTTTACACTGTCTATGATAAAAGGCGGTGTTCATAATAATGGGACAAACAGCTGAATCAGACTGACAAAGTATTTAAATCCCGAACTACAGCTAAATTTAAAAAAGCACAAAGCAACTTTGTGAACTATTTCGTCTGCTTTTTTCTGAAACTGAGCTCACTCTCTAAATTTTAAAATTCTGTAAATTATGTTGACCTGTTATTCCTTAAACATTATTTATTATTAACAAATATCCCACGAATTTTGGCAAAATTTGCTGCACTGACTTTTTATATCTCACACTGAACTAACTTAAATTATAATAATTATGAACCACAGAAATAAGTTGATATTCGTAAAATCTCTTCTTTAGATATTTGTCCTGCTAAAATATAAATAATTTTACGAAGTCATTTTAAAGAATTGAAGCTGACGTGGTTTTGTTTCCATTTCCAGTTTTGTAGTATTTTTGAATAATGCTAAACCGTTGCTTAATTAAATTTTTACACAGAATATTTTCCGACTTTGCTTTCTTTTCTATAAATAAAAAAAGTTGACAGGAGACACATAACAGAAATATGCTTTACGTTACTTCGTGGCGGCAAAATTACTTTTTTAAACGGAAATGTTACCACATTTTTTCGCCATAGATGCAAGTTCATCAATTAAGTTTAAGTAATACTACGAAAAATTTCACAATTTTTGAAATAATAATATCATATAATAATAATAATAATAATAATAATTTTTCGGACCAAGTGAAGTAATAGTTTTTATACAGCGTGATCAAGAACTATTATTTCAGTTGCCAACAATGAATTTTGCTTGAAATTGGTATACTTGTATTGTTATTGATTATTTATTTATTAGTAAAATGTCATTACTAAATTTTCTAGAGCACGTAAAAGTGACATCGTGTCAAGCATTTAAATCAGGGTTGTCAATTCGACTGCTTATGCTGATATTTCGATAGAATTCGACGGTTAACCCGTTCTAACAACAAGCATCAGCAGCGAAATGCATTTGTATTAGAGGAAAATTAAATCTGATTGATTTTGTTTCCCAACACAGAGACGAGGACTGATTAATTAATTAAGCGCACTCGGTTTTTTCAGTCATAAATTTGAAGAACGACCAAACTGGAAGATGACGTCATCATTTTTTGGGGAATCATAAACACAGACAAATTTCGTTTAACGATTTACCATGCTTCCGATAACCTCAAAACGTTTCAAGATTTACGAGCATTCGACTTTGTCCTTCCAAATTTAAATTGCAAAATGTTGTTATCAATTTGTTTTTTTTTTTTTTTAAATGTGGATATCTAGGGTATGAACACGGATCCATAAATTAACATGTTATTTGAAAACATTTAAGGAACATTTGTTGGGCAAAATGGTAAAATGACATCATCGTTTGATGGAGGAGGAGCATAATCTAAAACATTTTGATTAACGATTTACCACGCTTAAGACAACTTTAAAATATTTGCAAGATTTTAGAGCATTTGGTTTTCCAGTTTCAAAGTTAAATTGGGTATCTAGGGTAAAAGTCAGACCACAAGTGCAAGAGTATGTTATTCTACAAAATTTAATTAACATTTATTATTGTAAATTTATGACGTCATTTCATTGTTAGTGGGGATGATCAGACAAATTTTGGTTAGCGTTTTACGATCAACATGACATTCCCAACATACAAATAAAATTTGACAACAATCGATTAAATAGTGTCGGAGATTTTCTAATAGAAATCGACACAACACAGACCGTTAGACGACAGACAGACGGCAGACAGACGGAAACGCGAAACCTGCTTTTTCGGGAACATGAAAGCAGCCATTCGTAGGATAGATCCTATTGCAATATTTTCTCCTACAGTCAGCAATTTTTCAATAAAAATAAACCTTCCTTTTTTCACATTAAATAATCAGTTGCTTCAGTTATTTAAATATTAAATATTTTTATATATTAAATTCTTTGTTCTTTAGACAAATAAAAGAATTACTCAATTTACAAAAAAAAAAAACATTATCTATATTAGTACTTGCCCAATATATTTTTTAAACCGTAAATGTCACTTTCTTAATTCAATGATCTCCTAAAAATTAATATAAGTTACTCTAATATTCATCCCTTGCAAAAATTTACGTCATCGTAAAAGGTTGTTAAGTTATTGTCATTTTAAGCGTAAAGCATAACATACCTACAGTTTAATAGCTCTTTTCAACTTTACGTATATGAGCTGTTGTAACAACATAAATTTGAAGCACAAATTTTACAGTTTATTTCAACTACGACATAATACAAATTCCTGGGAATGTTAGAAAGACGGAGAACAAGAATTACTATATCTAAACAAAACTACTGAAAATCTGAAACAAGCAAATTGACTTATTTCAAATTTATGTTTTTGAAGATTTTTTTAGTTTACACTTTTTCTATCGGATGATTTTTTTAAATTTCCTCTAATTACCCACGACGAATTTCATTGCTGACGTAAGCGACTTGAGTAACTAAAGCAGAAATTTAAAAAATCACCGAGTACTTTATATTTATATGTCTGTTTCTTTGTCTTATATTATTGATTTTATTTATTTTGTACTTATTTTAAGACCGACGTATCTAAAACCTATGTAACAGTCTTGTAATGCAATGAAGGGATTATTATTAAAATATACTTTTAAGCATCAATTCAAAAGTTCTTATCGGCCTTTATTTTTCTTATCGATCACCAATTTTTTAAAGTACGTAGTAACGAAATTGTTTTACTAGTTTGTGTAATATTGTCTTTAAAGGATCAAATGGTGTCATTTTTGACACAATTTGAAAAATTTTTAAAGTCAAAAATTAAATTTTTAATAAAATATTTTGACTTCAAAGTGCTACAAAATATAACACATTCATAAATACCTATAAAACTACTAAATTTGATCTTTTTATTTAAAAAACTTAACAACACAAAAATATATAACCAAAAAATTAATAGATAAAATGTATTATTAGTATTATTTTAACTGTAATAAACTTAATTCACTATTTCGAACCTCTGTATACCTACGATAATTAAAAATCTTATTAAAATAGAGTAAAATCTGAACCCTTGATCGGTTGATTCACACATGCACAATTTAAGCAATGCATGCAAATCCCTCATAAAATCTGTAAGCTGAGTGAGAATAAGCTTTGCGACTCTTATTTCCGCCACAAAATAGATGTTCATGCTTCAGCTTCACGACAAAATACGCTTAAGATAAAATTGAAAAAATATTTCACTTTAAAGACAGCATCTTGACAAACTGCAAGTATATTGTTACACTTTTACAATAATTTAACCATAAGCATCTCTCAGTAAAATAAAACGTCTTACATAAAATAACATCCTTTTTCCAGTGCACCGCAATGAAAAATTAATAAAAACGACCCTATCTTCCCATCTTGCGTCGAATTCTCTTGTTCTTCTAACCTACCCCGCACACTTTCTCGCAAAATCTCACTTATTCTCTAGTGGGAAAACCCTCGCAAATTTTTTTCAGTGTTGACTCGTGTGACACGCTAATCTATGTAATTAGTCACGCATTGTCAATGGATTTCATTACGGTATCGATGAATAGTGATAACTCTGGTGTTCAACGGGCCGATGCTGATTGGTAAGGGGGCGGTGCGAGCGTCGGGACGCAAGCGGGGACGCCACGATGCCTATAAAAGATGTTCACGTTCATACTGTGGCCCTCACAGTTACAACCCCACATTACAAACGACTTCACAGCCTACAAGACATCGACCAACAGGTGACTAACGCGGTGAGTACGCTACTTTCTCGCATGATTTTTCGCCCCGAAACTTCGACTTTCGGTCTCTCGATACTTACATTTTTTTCTTTAAATTGTAAATTTTCGACGAGTTTGCCAATTTTCGTTTAAAAAATGGGACGCATCCAAAGTCAACACTAAAGCAGTTTCCGGTCATTAAAGTTCTAAGGTGACTTAAATTGGCTCAAGCAACCTTTCCGATGCTCATTGATCTTTAATGATAAATCCACAAAAGAGCGGAACATCTCCAATAGTGCGTGAAATTATTAGGCTTTTGCAATTTTGTAATTGATTAACCCGGCGCATCCACCATTTTTACAAAAGCTTTGTAATCAACCATCACCCTTTTTTATTAAGCTGGGAGAAAGTTGAAAGTTTAGAAACTTCTCCACTGTTTTACTTACTTAATAAAGGGCTTTCGCCTGCACAAACTCAGGTTATTGTTACTAGTTGTTTTGTTTATATTAAATCATTTTACGCACGCCGAAATTCGATAAACACCATTGTGATTGATTTTTGTGGGCTTTCTAAATGTTAACCATTAGAGAAGCACTTAAGGTTTAAGATGATTTATTGTGGTATAGTATCATCGTGTCAAAGGTGCTATAAAAAAATCCAAATTTGATACAAATCGGTTTTTTACATTAACGGTATTTGTCGTAACTACTGTTAGTAAACGCAAATTTGTAACAATGTATTGTTTTGTATTCAGTGCCTAAAAACAAATTCGTTAATACTGCACAATGCAGAGAAATTGTAAATGTTCGATGCACTCACGATACATTTTACCATTGTGTGCACTCAGCAATTTTATTGCACGTTATTTGCACCACAATTTAATCTGAAGCTGCATGTGTCACTTATTTATTACATCGCCTTAATATAATGTATGTTTTTCAATAATAAAAACTAATTAATGATCTTCAAAAACCTTTTTTTTTTATTTTGTTTCATAAAATTTGATCTGTTCTAACCACATTTTCTTTATTAGTTAAGGTGTGTACTTTGCTCATTTAAATATTACCCTTAGACCGAGGTAATTCTATATATTTTTTGCATCGTAAACCACTTCACTTCCGGTAAAATTTAATTTGTGGGAAACAAAGTACCTACTCGAGTTTTGTCTGATAATGAATGAAGTCTTTAAATAAAAATGTTTGATACTGACATTTGAAAATTATAATTAATACTTCCTTCCTCATCCGAGCAATTAATTAAAATTCGTCAAGGAAATGGAATTTGCTTCCCCTATATCGGTTTTGAGATTTCATAAAAACCTCAAGATTACCACATTTAGAATTAATTATTTTCCCCTCAAAATAAAATTTATAGAAAGGTACAACATATTACTATTGAGAATGCATTATAAGAACTATTTTTTAGTAGGAATAAATACTTAATTAAATTCATAAATTCAAGGTCTAAGAGACGCCTATCTAATTTATTTAAGTTGTAATTAAATATTTGCCTGGATTTTAACTTTGCGATCTAGATTCAGGTGCGTGAGCTTGTAATTTCAGATTTGCATCGTCTAACATAATTAAATAACGTCAAGGGAGAGGAGGCACTTTGGAAAAATGCAAATCTTTCTTTAAACTATTAAAACTTGATGATATAGGCGAATGTAAACAATTATTTAAAAAAAGAAATATGTATACACGACACAGAATTTGGGTCTCCAGAAAAATTTCACCGAAACGTTGAACTTAGCGAAGGTTAAAATAAATCATCTTTTTTTGTTATTTCATTTCTTATGACCATTTTTGCATCTCGGCTACGACCCTCGCTCAGATTTGTCCCAACAAAATCTTTACAAGAACAAACGAATTAGCAACATAACAAACTTTTTCTCCAACTTTATGAGCACACATTATTTATGTTCTACTCAGCGCAACATCATTAAAATTCCATCCAGGACCGCAGCTTTGTTATCCTTCATTTGACTGAAAGCTTCTTTTTCTAAACCTATATCCAACATATTTCAATTTACATGTATTACCTTTGCCCCGACTGAATTTAGATACATAGATAAGTAATTTCCTACATCTTTGATGAAATTTACTCGAAAGCAATTTGGGTATTTATGGCAGCGTGTATGCGATATTTTTTGTAAATGTTCAGAAATAACATCCGCTGTTAGATCTGTGATAATTATGTAAAAAAAAAGTCCGCCAACTCTTTTTATTGGCCATTATACATTTTGGAGCGTCAAAGTTCTGATGCTTTGTGTTCGAAATTCCAGCTAATCACAATTTTAAAACAATTTTTTTATTAATCCCCAGAATGTTTGTACAGCGAAAACGTGTCCAGTAATCTGTACGCATTGCGTATCTTCATACAATCGCATATAAAAATAATGGGTAGAGAGAAATTTCGGCATTTCAGATGAAAAGGTTCCGGATTTAGCCCAAATTAACTTCATAGTTTCTATTTCGTTACCAATTTTGTTAAAATTAATACAATTAAAATAGTAATATTTTACATAACACAAGCACAATTACAACATAGAAAACCTGTTTATAAAAAATCTATGCAGCTTGCAGATTAACAACTTTCAGGGAAAAGCACAAAACAATGAAACAAATCACTGATAAATTTAAAACGTCATCAAAAACGTTTCTAATATTCAAAAAAACTTAGTTTATGCAGCAAATTTTCTACGTTAACTGTACTTTTTTTCTTAAATGGCTAATAAAATATAGATCACTACAATATATCAACTTTTGAATAATGGATGATTACTTAATAATAGTCACCCTGGGACATAAATGAAGCAAAATAAAAAGTCTGTTTTAATAGGTAAATCTTAACTGTCTAACATATCTCTATGTCAATAAATACCAGTACTGAAATGTGTTGAAACATACACCAAATAACACTACTCACGCAATGAGAAAATTAATGCAAAAAACAAAACAAAACTATTACAAGCTTCCAGTTAGTGATAATTTAAATGCATCACTATCGCTGTAATGTGTACGTGTTTTCAGAACTTGACGTTAATTTTGTATGCACACGATAGTTAAGTGTGAGGTTGTGTTAAGGTTTTACAGCAATGATAGCGTGTCATACAAAGTCAAATGTTAAATACTTCCACTGATACATATAGTGTATTTAGTATACCTGATACTAATAAAACTATGTGTAAAATAGTATAGATGTTTAGTCATCGGTCGTTATTGGCCAATTATGTTGTTAATTTTTGTTATTAATTAATTAATTTTTGTCAACCTAGGACCACCTGCCAAGAATAACAACAAAAATTAGTATGGATGTTCTGAGAATTTTGGGAAAATTAAATTAAATTCTTTTTGGTTAAATAATAAATTAACAACACTAGAAAATACAAATAAATTACTAAACCTCAAATAACGTGTATCTCTAAGTAAAACTCCTTGAGGAAACAAATAAAGAAATTTTAATCGTTAACCAGTAAACACTAAATCAGTGTTAATCTATAAAATTTGCTTTACAAATTTTCTTTTTATATGATAACACAAATGTGTATTATTTAAAAATCAACTATTTAACCCTAAATTTCAACCGAGATTTAATTACCAAAATTTTGGTTTCCACGGCTTACACTAGAGAATCAAAAAGGCCACTTAAATGTAGTACTGAACAAGTACCGCGTGATCAGAGATGTTTGAATCTATTGGCAATCCTGGATTTTTATTTGAAATTGGTACCATGATGTTTTCTATTATTTCCGGTTGTCAACTGTCAAAATTGACAGATTGTTAGTATTTTTAATTTTCATTAAAATGTAGGTCACGTATCCAAAACATACCTACCCTAAATTTATCGCATGTCACGATTGAAATATCTGTCACACAATTACTTTCGTTATGCCAACATAAGCGCAAGAAACGTTCACACTTTTGTTTAAAAAGTACTGCCAACAGACTCAGTCATTTCTAATCACACGGTATTATCACCTCATGTCTTCTATAATCAGTAACATACTTCATTAATGACGCTACTGAATGTAATTCGATAAAAAAACCTTCAAAGTGTTATCTTTTCTCCACTCTGAATTCAATGAATAGATAATTTTAATATCGTTACAGGTATTAGTGAAAGAACGACATTTTGGTTTTAATAAGTGTTTGAAATGTTCTTACATATTCACCTAAATATATTATTGACGTATAATAAACAAATCGTAAAACATAAATGGAGACGTTTTCGAACATTATTAAAGCAGGGGTACTATTTTTCAGAAACTTTGTAAGTCTTGAGAAATACATATAAAATAAGAAAGACTTTAAAACTATCGAATTGTGTGATCTCAAAATCAAGCATTTTACCAGTGGTTTACATATGATCATATTTTTACAAAACGTTAAGATATGAAAGAACCTCTTTTAATAATTAAAATACAACCAATTAATTCATTTAATAACAATGATGTGCACATCCCTTCAGTTTAGCTGGATATCATCATCATTTTCCATGATATTTGGATGTTACAACGATTTTTTTGTCGCTCTCACATCGATATTTCTAGTGTTTCATACAAAAATATGTATTCAGACATATGAAACGTAAAACTCAAAAAACGACAATGGCTATCTATTTACGTACCTTAAACCAAGTAAACAAAATGTTTTTTTGCAGTCTTTAAAAAATTGTAAACATAAAATAAATTCGAGTGTTATTTACAAAAGTGTAAATAATTTTAAATGTTCATAACGTTGCTTGCATGGGACTTTAAAATACTCTGAAATAGATTACATCCTGCCGATTCTGAACAAGTCTTCCATCATTTTAAAAGTAAATTTTACAAATTCAAAAATATTTACGGATCATATTAGGGGATTATTGACACAAATTTTAGTTTCCTTGAAAAAATTAAACAAAATTATCTCAAAAATGTATAATAAATATTTCCTCCCCAAGTTTCGTCTTTTCAAAATGTAGTTTGTACAAGATTAGTTACCTGGCGTTTGTAGATTCAAAAAATTTGTTCAAAAACTGCATAAGTGTAA